TAGCATTCTTTATAATTTATTAATTTTGTGCATAAGCTTTTAGCAATCTTCTGTGACCTATTTACTTTGTGTTTTACTGATTAATAACTAACTAATCAGATGCCATGGATATGAAAATTTGTTTTCTAATAGTTTACCAATTCCTGAATCCATCCTTGCTCCATTTTTGAGGTTAAAAACTGGGGATGAAAGGATCATATTTTAATGTCTTGAGCTCGTGCTTATCCCTTGATGATCTGTGAAACTATCCTCACGCATGTTGTGTACAGTGAGATATATTTTTTACTAAGGTTTCTTTCCTCTGTAATCAGTAGATGATGGTTCTCTGCCTCTTCCATGAATACATTACCATATTCAAACACATTTCATCTGGGGAAATGGTGGTTGTAACTTTTAAGACGATATTTTAGAATTTGCTCCGAACATGGTGATAACACCAAAATCAAACCTAAAACACTTTCTCAGCTCCATTTTCCACTGCTAACATGTCAAACTTACTGATCATCTAACAATTTAACAACAGGGGGAAAAGGGGGTGTGGTTAGGCGTGGTTGATCGATTGCCTTGTAAATCCACGGTCATAAGGACATTCTACCAGCCACCAAAAACCAGAATCCGTGGTTTAAGACTGTTTCCCGAAGTTGATCGTTCTAAACTTGAGCTAAAATCCTTCCATGTTTAGAAATCTTTGGATCAATATACCAAAAACAACAGCAAACGCGACCCCATCAAAGGCACATAAACGATCACGAATCCCTTCCCTGAAACCCCAGTAGCTATGATGTCCAGCATTGCCCTCCCTAACTAGATTTAACCTTACAAACCTAGCAACATTAGGCAACACGTCAAGATCAATCCAAAGTTGCCCCACTTGTAACATCAAAGTTCCAAGAATTCCCGATGCAACAAAGACCGACCAACTAAAGGAGGCATCAGCCATCACGGTTGGTAGATGATACCTTGGTGCTCCATAGCATGTAAAAGTAGGTTCCACATCACATCAGTTTTATGGGATAAGAATTTCCTCATGCCCATATCTCATCTTCTAATAAAGATTGAAAGATTAAAAATGAAAATACCATTCACCTTTCCGATCCAATATCCCCTACCCACCACCCCACTTGGACCCACTTCATCATTGATTCTGATGAAGCAGATATGGAAGCAGATGGAAAGTAAACGCTTAAGGAACCATAAAAGATTGCTAGTTGATTTAGTGTAGTGTAAATGCAATTTATTACATCCTCAGGATTTGTTGAACTCCAATACAAATCAACCTCGGATGAAAGCAACAAGAACAAATAAATTATGTAAAATGGGAGAGCAACACAAGGCCATTGCTTCATCCCTGCCAAAAAGAAAAACACATATCCTATACTCTTAACAAAATAATTCAACGGAAAATATGAACCTGAAAAAATGAAAATTCCGGACGAATCTAAGTGGAGCTGGACCTTTGCAGGAAAACCCCCTGCAATAATTTAAACCTCATGATTACCTCTGTAATAATTTCAGAAACAAAATGAAAGAATGAATGGAGAATTTCTTCTCTGAACTTTTTCAATGAATGGAGAATTTCTTCTCTGAACTTTTTCAATGAATGGAGAATTTCTTCTCTGAACTTTTTCAATGAATGGAGAATTTCTTCTCTGAACTTTTTCAATGAATGGAGAATTTCTTCTCTGAACTTTTTCTTCCTTTGAGCTCGTATCGTTACGACTACCTTAGTTATTTAAATCTGATAGCACTAACTAATAAATCTGAAATTCAGCTATGACTATATATGTATTTATTTGCTTTTTCCCTAAACAACGTTCTGATCAAGCTGCAACCCCTCAAGCCAAGCTTGCAAAGCCATGTAATCACTGGATTCAATGTGAGGGTTTGAAGTAGAGCCATCAAGGGTAGCTGGGACTGGAATAGCAGTTGTCTCGTTTGTCTCAGATGGTGAGTCCTTTAACATTGAATGAACCCATGACACATCGGGTTCCTCTCCAACGTGCTCAATTGAACTTGATGTGTGTGGCTGACCCACTTCGTCCGCCTGAATAAACCTATCTACATTCCTGTTCTCAGATTTCCATTTTGACCATGAATTTGTACCATTGGATCCAAGGTCATATGATGGCTTAGAACTAAACTTCTGTGGGAGTAGGCTGCTTTGTAATTGTTGCAACATCCTCTCCCGGCGAACATGAGCAGATTGTTGAAAGCCCAAAGAGGACACAGGATCATTGATATAAGGTGATATCCCCTGAATTCGAGATGCCTTGCTTTTCGGATGCTGCTGCTGTTGATTAAGAGCTGCTGACGAATATGTGGGAAAGAAAACTGATGCAGAACCTCCCAGTTGCTCAGAATACTGAGGAGATGAGACATTTGCATTGAACATCTTGTCTAGATTTGAGTGGTTCAAGGTGTTTGAAGGAGAAAAAAGATCGTTAGAAGAACCATTGTACTGTAGCTGAGAGAAAGAGGATGGCTCGTTTAGGGGCAGATGTTGCTGGAATGCAAAATCCCGCAATCCATTAAGCTCCTCGGATGAAATGTCTCTTGCATTGAGAGAACTTCTCAGACGGCTTGCTTGGAGACCGTTATGCAAATTTGGGATAGTTTGCTGAGGCCAAGGCACAGATGGGTGTGAACTGTTGCTTGAAAGATGCTTCAGTGGATTAAATGTAGAAGGTGACGTCGAGGAAACTGCTGAAGGGGAGCTAGGCAATAACTTCGAGGCCGTGGTGAAATCCATAACATCTACTTTAGAGGATGCAGCTCCAGTAGACATATTCAGAGGTCTCAGTTCATTTGATTTGTGAGCAAAGAAACACACTCGACGCATGCAATTCGTGCCTTCCTTGCAAAGTCGAGTCTTGTATTGGGTAGGGTGTAGCCAGCTCTCGAAAATCCCATGAGCATTTTCACACAAATCCCCACGCCTACATGTCCCATTCCTGTGATCTGGACATGGTGCACAACTGTAATAGAACTTCCTTGGGTCCCTTCTCCTTGCATTCTCACCTGGATGAACAAAAGGACACTCGGTCCAATCATGGGCATATGCCCTGGAACAGCGTTGGATCTTGAAGGAGAACATCCTAAACTCATCGCTAGCATAAACACTGTTCTTAATATCAGGAATAGTTGGATCAACAGGGTATCCTTTCTTAGCAGAAGAAACATGTACATCGTTAGGCGTACGGTTAACTGGCGACAATATAGAGCCCGAGGGAGAGGACGAGGAACCTTCATCAGTCAATGATGACAGAGAAGGTGAACTGGATCTCAAACTAGGACGTGAAACTGGCATCATATCCCATTGACGGACAGAACCATTTTTCAAGAGCTCTTCAAGTGCAATTTTCAAGTGAGGAAATTTTGAGGGAGTAACGATAACATCAATTGGGCGACAACCATTGGTATCAAAAGCATTAGTATCAGCACCTGCAAGTAATAGCAACTTGACAACATAGATAGCGTTAACAGATCCACCAGAAACAGCACAATGAAGAGCAGTGCTCTTATCCGGGCCACAACAGAAATTTATATCTACCTCAGGTAGAGAAAGAATTAGTTTCACAATGTCAACACTGCCATATTTAGCAGCAATCATCAAAGGGGTTCTCTGCTCGAGAACCATCTTCCTCGATCCCCCCTGACGACTGTACCATAGTCCAACCTCCTTAACCTCGGATTCATCAAACGCTGATCGCCTGAAACCCTCAACGTCATTATCTGCCGCAAACTCAAGCAACGAAGAAAAGGAATGCTCGGTATCAATGCAGTAGCTCATATCTTCAGTAAAAGAATTGCTTTCCATGGGAGACAATGGAGTCATAGTCTGCGATTTTTTTGACTGATTAGGCCATTCACACATAATTCAACAAACCGAAAACCAGTTTTCACAGTACAATTCTATAAGAAACACAAAATTGAATATAATAATTTTCTTCTTACAGAAAACGAAAGGGTGCCCACTTCAAGTTTTTGAATTTTATGACAAAGAAAAGATAAATTTTCAATTGGGGAGAGAATTGTAAGACCAAAAAAATGACAAGAGAAGTCAGTGAGAGATAGGAGAACTTGGATGGTGTGTGTGTGTGTATATATAAGAAAAGCAAGCTAAAAAATACTTGCAGAAAAAGAAAACGAATCTGTTCCGGAGATTTTGAAAAGCTACCAAGGAAGTCTCAGACAACTTCGGATTTTCTACATAAAAACTTTCTATGATTAATCTTTAAATTAGTATCGAACTAATAAGGGATTGTCCTGAATTCTGGTTTTTAATAGTAATACAGATCCTTTCAGGAACCAGAAAAGAATAAATATTTTTTCTTTGATGAAATACCTAACGTAGCAGAAACCGGAGAAGAGAGAGAAAAGAAAGAACTTTCTGGCTTCAAAAATGATGTATAATCTCATAAGGAAAATATAATCTCAATAATATTCAAATGGAAACTCATTTTCTTCTTTCCAATTTTAGCTCTTCTATATTACCATTTCTTGGTACTTCGGTTATTGAAATTTAAAACGAAACCATGATCTTTAAAGCTTTCTTTTTCTATTATTTTTCTTTCCTTTTTCCCATATTTTCTCACCAACCAAACAGAATCTAAAACATAAAAAACTTACTAATTAACGTATTATAAAGACGATTGAAATCATAAGCATAAAAGTAAGGAGCACCTGAACTCACTCATTGGGTTAAATATTACACAAGGTGGTGGTGACTTTTTCTTCAAGAAACCAGAAGAATTCCATCAAGAAACGTACGGTCAAATCCAAGAAGCAAATATAATTGCCAAGAACTGGAAAAAAAGAAAAGAAAAGAAAAGATGGCGAGTATATTGAAGGGAGAAGCTCAAAGACTAGAGAGAGGGAAAGTCGATAGAGTATAACGATTTTTTGAAAATTAAATGTGAGATTAAATAGGGTTTAAGGGACTTTTGGGGTGAAGTTTGAAATTTGTGTAAACTTTGGGGGGCTTAAAAGGAGTTCTCCGGTGGTTTAACGGGGTTAGGAAGCGAGAAGGGGTGAAGGGAAATCTCCTCCGTTCAAGAATTCTCCTCTCTTTTTTCAAATACAAAATAGTAAACCTTTTGTTGTTTAATTATTTAATTATGTTTTAATTATTTTAATGGACTAGGACTTTTAATATTTTTGTACTTTTAATATTTTGTAAATCTAACCTAATTATCTCTAAATAATTCGGTCCTTTATCCTAGTAGTCCAATTATATCAATGATGTGCGTGGTTTTTTTATTTAAAAAAAAAATATATATGTGTATGTAAATTAATAAAACCAAAAGATTAAAACAATATAATATATGATAAGTTAATTAAATCACATAAAAATATACAAACAAATATTTTATCTAGTTAAAAATAAATTAGATATAAAAAAATAAAAACAAAAATAATTCTAAATCTAACAACTCTAGAAATCCAGCATCATATCTCTTAAGTTATCTTAAAGAATACTAATCTTTAAACTTTTGGTATTTATTAAAGGAATATAACAAATATTTGACTAACAAAATAATAATTAATGATATCTTAAAAAATCCAAATAATTTAAAAATAAAACTTTCAAGTTAAATAAATAATTAATTATTGATTATAATAATCTTATATATTTTTTATAATTAAAATAATTAATAACTTATACTTGGTATATGGCATGCTAAGGTGATTTGCAGCTAATGTATTAGCTAATGTCTATAAAAGATCTTTTATTATAAAGGTAGGAACTCTGATATTTAAATAAATATTTAAAAAAAAAAAATACAATAATATTCTAAAAAGAGATATTATGAAAATATATATACAATAGAGAATGAATATTGTCATTTTTTGTTCTGAAGGTTTCATGGTGTATTTATAACTCATGAATCTTGTTCTTCTTTTTGAAAATGAGAGCTTGAAAAATAATTTTATCCTTGTAATTTTTTGAGTTATATTGTACTTGAAATAATTCTTATTGAATTAGTATAAAATATTAAAGGATGTCCATGCCCTCTAGGGAGTTGGACTCGAGTAGTAACCTAAAGTCCAAGCCCTTAGATGTGGGGTTTACTTTTCTTGGGTCTCATGTTGTACTTTAGGGTCAGGGTACCAAACCCGAACCCAAAAGATGTTCTTATTATATTTATTTTGGGGAATTTTTTTGATCCATTTTAAAGGTCTTTTTTTGTTCATTTTATTTTATTTGTATCTGTCTATAATAGATTTTATAAAACCAACTAAAATCTCCATTATAAGCTTATTTGTTAGAAAAAGAATGATATTCTCTTTTAATTTTAAGTGAAGTTATTACTGAAATTACATATGAAATTATATTTATTTGAAATGATTTATAAGCATCCTAAAAACGAGTAGTTGGTTATAATCAAGTTGCAATATCTCATTCCTATTGAAATTGATATTATTATTTAAAATTATTAAACAAATAAAATAAAATAAAACATCTTAATTGGAACCCGAGCTCAATTTACCAATTTCAAGGTGAATTGAGCAAGCTCGCCTTTATGATCTAGCTGCATGTTTTGATTCTCCATCAACTGTGGTGGATTTAACTATGATTCTTCAACTCATTCTCTGTTTTTATTTTTAGATTTATTTTTTTAATTATTTTATTTTAAAATGAGAAATTTTAGAATAAAATAATAAATTAAGTCATATTTATGGTCATGGAGGAAAAAAAAAGTCACGTTAATGATCAAATAGCGTGATTTTGCGAGTTTATAATTTAAAAATTAATTTTATTGTTAAAGAGTTAAGTTTTTTTTCTTGATTTATTATGTTCAAAACTTAGGATTACCATTGCAGTACCCTCAGTAATGTTAGGACGACTTTTTTCAAACACAAACATGTGTTTGTAAAGGAATCGTGATCTAAATATGAAAAATTTTATTTGATTTTCCAGAAATTTTAAGTAATTAACTAGTTGAGTAAAGAAAATATATTAATATTCTTAGTATGTCTTTAGTATGTCTTATATGAGATAAGTTGTATTTTTTTTTATTTTCTATGGTTTGATGATATTTTTATTTTTATTAGTTTATTATGACAGGTTTGTTATGATGAATAAATTATAGTTTTTGAAGTCAATAACTTGGTCTGTGAAGGTAAAATATCCTCAATTATCATTGAGGTTTTTTAGCTTATAATTTTTAGCTACTATGTCATTCCAAATAATATTTCAAATAAAATGTCTTGTAATTTTTTACCCTTATATTATAAATTAATTAGTTGTATTACTCTTAATAATATTTTGGATATTGACCTTATGTAGGTTTTTTATCCTTATATTAAAAATAAGTAATAATTATTATTATTCCTAATAATATTTTAAATATTAATTTTTTTGTAGGTTTTTTTATTTATATTAAAATTGAATAATATATTTTCTTGCCAAAAATAAATTTTTAATATTTTTAAAATATAGGTCAAAACCTTTAGAATTTTACAAATTTGTTGTAAAATCCATGTAACTTTTTTAATAATATGCCAAAATATTTTAGATATTATTAAGAAAATACTCAAATAATTTTTAGGATTTTTGGTCATATACAAGGAAAAAATAAAATATTTTTAATTATTTTTTAGGTTTTGTTTAACAAAAACTCATTTTTCTTAAAACTAAAATTATCAAAATATGTCTAGGGGTGTTTGTCAAACATGCCCTTAAAGTAAAAAAAAAAAAAAATCTTTTAGCAAAAACATTGCAAGCCAAATAAAGTCTTAACCCTTTAACTTGACTAGGTTGACCTAAAATCTTTGATTTGATTGTAAATCAAACCAAAGACCTGGTTTGACTTGATAATAATCCAAAAACAAAACCAAAGTTAAAAAACAGATTTAACACTGAAAAAACATATAAGCTCAAAATTTCTTAGACAAAACAGATCAAACACAAAAAATTAAAGAACATGAGGAACATTCAACCATGAACCCAACAACATGGATCTTAAATTAGACTAGATACGATCAAAACAAAGATACAAACATTTTGGAAATGATGCAAGGATTAATAAGTTGACACTCATTCACTTTGATTATCTCTCTAACACCACGAGTTTATCAAAATTAGATTCAGTTTAAAACTAAAATCTTATTATTAAAACTCATTAAAACCTGGTATTGATGCAAATAAATCCCAAATTATTAGTCAATCAAGCATAACGAAGTAGTATAATGAAATGGATCAAAATTAGTTCAAACCATATAGTTAAGGCAATATTCTTTACAAGAACACAAAGAACACTGCCCAACAGCCCAATCACTGCCCCAAAATATCTAACATTGTTAAGCCCCACAAATTGGCATTTTGACCTCTAAAACATGCTTTATTCATCCCAATAAGTCACATTGTCATAAACAAACATATTTACATAAAAAAATAAAAAATAACATCAAATCATCATAATCATGCTAGAGGTTCTAATCTTCAAAATTATCAAAGCTAAACAGTAAGCATATTCAACAATGTCAGATTCAAAATTAACATTTATCATTTCACAAGACTGAAACAAGACTTTAAAGCTAAGAACATGCATCAATAAGCCCTGAAAAAATAATAAAAGGCTTGTTATCATATTTGGCAGATTCCACAAACTATTCTATTTTAGTAAAACAAACATCAAAACATTTCTTAAGCATCTTGTAAATAGTAATAACCAACTCAAAGTAAGATTAAGCAAACAAAAAAAAAAATATTTTCATGCATTAATCAAGATACAAGTTTAATACAATATATCACCAAAAAAGTTCAAAACATTATTGAAACATGTAATGAAAAGGATAGAGGTGTGCCTCGTAGATATCACCTCCTAGTTCAAAAAAGATTTATACCTTTGAAGCTTCAAAACAGTGATTCTTGCTTTTTTTTCTCTTTTTTGAAAAACTTTACCTCCTCTAACTTCAAACCTTCTAAAAGCTAAAGAAAACCTTGTATTAGGCTCATGAACCTTCACAATTAGGGTTTTTTATATATATTTTTCATCCTCATCTCTTTTTTTTATTATTATCCAATGTATTTATAGTATTTTGCTTGGTTTTTTTATGAATTCAATCAATAATTGATCTATGCTTGGCCCTTTGATCAAAATGAGAGAGTTTTTGATATGTTTTTACAGTTATGAGCTTTGTACCTTATTGGTTTTTCAATGGTGGTTTTGTAACAAACTTGATTTTGAAAATTTTAGGGATTTTGCTAAACTTGAAAAACAAATAGTTGTTTCTAACCTTTTGATCTTGAGAGAAACGTGATCAACTTTTGATAAGAACCATTGAAAAGGCTTGAAGTGTGAATAGTCAAAATAAATGAGTGGTTTTTGCATAATAGGTATCACAATCATCAATAGCTAAGTTGTCCACTTTCAAAGTCTTGTCAAAGCAACTTTAATGTCATTGTCATTTACTATCATCTGAAATTGGTAGAGGGGATGCAGACTTTTCATTTGGATCCAACTTTACTTGATTTGAAGGTATGTAACTTCACATTAATTTATCTAAATATGTCAACTTGATCAACCTAGAATCTGAAAATGCAATGATGACTAATCAAAGGTAAAATGGTGTTGAAATCATTAAAGAAAATGGGATGTAAATGTTTAATAAAAATAACTGATATTTGTAAAGGGGGTATTTCTCAGTTGAATAATGGTGCTTACAGCCATTGAGATGGTTGGAGATGTCAAATTTATTCGCCTGAAGATGCTTATTCGATCAACTAAAATTATCAAAGAATAAGATAAACAGTGCTTGAATGACACGTCGTCTAACTTAAATCCTAAAATGGAGAGTTTTTAATTTGGAATTTAACAAATTTCA